CAAGAGTCATGTGTTTAGCTTTTCACTTCCTGTGTAATTGTTGGAAGCCACATGTTGCCATGGTATCCTCCTATGCTGAATACCCCGCTGCTGGGGATCGACGGTTTCCTGCCTGGCATCAAACACATTTTCCTCTCACCCAGAAAGCCTGGTCAGCTCCTGGAGTTCTACATTTGTCCTGTGTGACCTGATTACAGCTTTGATCGATGGCCAGAGCAGCCATCTGCAAAGTACTCAAAGCTTCAGCAAAAGGCTACTTGATTTCTTTTCAGTGCCTTAAATGTACTCATAAAGTCAACTTGAGCAAACAAAGATGACTTCTCTATCTTTTGTTGATGAGCTTTCACAAATGGTCTGATTAGAAAGTGTTTGGTACTGGGCTGCACTGCCATGGGGAGGAATGATACTCTTTTGACTCTGTTTCTGGCTTTTTTCAGATTCTCTTACTGAATGGAAGTTTTTAACCTAGTGTGCTTCTCTGGTGGTTTTATCATGAAGTAGAAAAAAAAAGAATTCCAATGATTTCTGCTCTGAACACCTCAGGCTTTTACATAAATTAAATGTCCTGAAAACAATTATTTCTCATTCATCAGCAAAGCATTCCCCCTGCCTGTGAGTGCTTTTCCCTGGTCAGTACAGCCACACGGGGAGCTCCCTGTCTGCCAAGGCCTCCAATAGCAAGGCTTTGATGTGCTTCTTTAATGCCACTTCGTTTATACTCTATGGAAAGTGTTTCTGAGGATATGCTTCAGAGGAGAAACTCACTGCATTCTCATTTGTTCCACAGCAACAAAGTAATGGGAAAAAACCCAGCAACCTGCTGTCACAAGGCAGATTCTGAATTCTACCTCAGTATAACATAAATATAGCCAAGCCGAGCCCCTTATGAAACAAAATAAGAAGGAACTGAAGTAAATTTTTTTCTTTATGTGGCACCACATAATTGAAATGGACAAAGGTCCAGATGTACCAGATGAATCTTGAAAAATTGCATTTAAAAATATTCAAAAGAATCACAATAATTTGTTAGGCTGAGAATGTGCAATATGATATTTTATTAGTTTATAGCAATATGAAGTATTCATCAAATTGCCTTGTACTTCTTATTGCCTTTGAGCTCTCACTAGACTTATGGATGATTAGCTGAGACATTCCTTTCAACAGCTACAATTCCAGAGAGGCAGGAAACAGCAGAGAAATAAAATCATTCTCAAGAATCATCAGAAACTCAGAAATACAAACTGCAGTGGCAGAGGTAGGGTGCAGTACAGACAGGTATTTATTGAATTAAGTCAATATTCAAATAAAAAAGAATAAAACTCTGTTGCCTGAAAGTTGGGAAACTAAAAAAATGATTTCTCTCTGGTATTCTAACCCTGCTGTTCAGTATGTTGGAGAAAAAAAAAGAAAGGGAGAAGTAGAAGATCTCAGAGTAGACCACCTTGGGCATGATTGCTCAGAGGTTTAGAAGCATCTTAGAAAAACTGAATATTCAACAAGTCTCTGCTTTTAAAGGACCTCAGTGTGCAACTAGCTATACATGGAAAAAACCAGGATTTAATTTCTCAAAACCGATACTTTTTAAACTAATAGGAAATAGTCCTCTCTTACACTTTCAGCATCTCACTAAAACTGCCCTAGACAAATATGAAAAATGCTCTCTTTTATCTTAGTAGATGACATCACACCCTCTATGTCATGTTTTATATTTTATATACGACCCTTTTCATAAGAATTTCTAATTTGCAAATTAATCTATATTTATGCAAATCTAGGTTAACAAAAATTTGATATTGGCCACAAATTTCAGTAAACACTATGATATGAAGAAAAAAAGCAGCCCAGGCATTTAAGAAGGTATTCAACTCTGGCACCAGTAAGAGCATGACGGGAGGAAAGGAAGAAAGGAAGGAGAAGCAGAGAAAAAATGGAAGGACTTCAGACATTAACATGTATTGAAATGGGATAAAAATCTCTAATTACAACTCAAATCACCTGACTTGACAATAACTCCTTTTTTAAACAATGTATATCTAAACTGGATTTCATAGGAGTATTTGGTATAAGACTAATTAAGAAAAGACAGTTATAAAAGATATGTAAAAGGTGTGTAGGAAATTGTACTGCACTGAAAGGTTGTGCTCAATACAGAGAATAACTGTAAGAAAAGCTCTTCCTTCTTGACATTAATATTCTCTAGTATTTGTGTGTTGATGAAATTTTTAGTGAAACAAAATCAGCAGGCTTTTTTAGGACCAAGGATGATCAGAACAAATATAACAAGAAGTGGATAACCTTGAGGACTGTAGCAATATTAAGAACACTGATTTATGTGAACAGTGTTATGAAATGCCAAGTCATGTGTTCTTAGCACTATGCAAAAAAATTCTTCAAAAAGCTAGAAAGAATCCACTGCTGGAAAATGAGCAAGGAAGGGAAAGACCTTACTGTAGTGTTCCAGAAAAGACTCTCACCTGTGATATGCAGTGATGGAGAAAGGCAGGATTAATACCCTAGTGTAATACAGATTTCATCTGGGACACTATTTATGGTACTAGTTATTCCTAACGAAGAACTAATGCCAGTTCTGCACTTCTCTTAACATTCTCCTGCATGAGAAAGCTAAAAACTGGAATATTCAGTTTCATGAAATGAAGTCTATGAGAAACTACAAGTGTTTTCATTAACTGTGTTATGAAGGTTCCAGGAGGGCCAGAGAAGTTAATTTAAAAAAATTTTAGGCCCAAGCAGTGAGTATTAATTTCATGCCTTCATAGGCATGAAAACACTTGGGGTAGAATTTACAGAATATCTAACTACTATAAGAAAACAGTGGTGAAACAGGCATTCAACAGCATCAGTAGGGCAAGAAACCAACCTTCTTCAGGCATGGAGCTTATCCACTTCTTAAAAGTGATTATGACTTCAGCAACTGCACTGAATGACTCAGAAAGTCACTTTCATTCTTATTCACTGCGCCCATCTACCTACCAGCATTTTTGCCTGAAGTGATTCATGAAGAGTAGACAGACAGGCTTTCATCAGGACCAAATGATGATTATGAAGACCACTCATTTTCTAAAGTAGCATGACAGTACTTCAAAACACAGTTCAAGTGTTACTTTATCCACATTTAGTGGACTTTATTATGGCAATGAAAGACAGGCTGGCTACATTTATTTAAATATATCCCAATTTAAATCCATTTTATCTTTTTGATGCTGCAACAGAGCTCCCAAATCCACAAATGACCTCTGCTCTAGGCATTCCAATTTCTATGGTAAATTCAACTTCTATCCTTTCTACGATATAATGAGCATTAAGTTTTCATACCAAGTGGAACAACAACTTTGTGTGCTCAATATCTCAGTTTTTAGGAATTTTTCTTGAAAGATAAGTGATCTGCATCAAATCTCCGCTCTAAATCAGATAAAAGGGAAATTTCAATTTACAAGTCCCACATTCTAAGTCTGAACGAGAATAGGTGCTCTCATTGAAAAGCAGAGACACAATTTAAATTTCTGCTTTGCCTAAGGACTGACCTGACAGGTATTTTCTGGGAATATTTTCCAGATTGGGTTGTGAAAGGAAGAGAGGAGGGCTATCTAGTTTGTGAATCCCAATAAGACTTAGTCATTTCAGCAATGCAGAGAGATGGCAAGATCTTGTTGGCCGTTTAAACAATGCTGTAAACAGAGAGAAAGGACTTCCTCTGACTCTCCAGCTTGCCACCTTACACATGCAGTTATAAAATAGAAAAAAAAAACCAGGTCCTTGTTACAAAAAAAATTAAAAGACACTGTCATAGAAAAAATTTTCTCAATAAAAATCTCTGTAAGCCTGAATTATGCCAATAGTTTTCTCACACATTATAATCAGCCTAATATATATATATATATATATATATATGTACACTACCTATATCCTGGCTGTATAAGAGCTGGCTGCAGGTATGAGATTCTGAATCAAATGCTGTCAATGGAAATTCTACACTGAACTACAAAAAAACCCCAAACAAACTAGATTTTATCGACTCTCAGTGCAAAGACCATTTGCTGCTTGTGAATACCAGTACACAGAATTTTAATGATAGTCTCCTTGGCTTCCTTATGCATGGAAATTATTTCAGGCAATGGTGTCAGATGCATATCTGCAAATTCCAGTAAAATGAATGAAATTTGGACACAAACGTAAAGACATTCTTAAATGTTTTCTCAAAAAGAAGTTCAGCTGTACTGAGTTCTTACCAGACTATACCACAAATTAAACACAGAAATCCCACATATTTTATAATACACAACTTATTTTAAAAACACACATACTCATGTACCATATATTAAAATGTGACATTAATCTTGAAAATTCTGATATAATCTTAATTAGTGTTAAATAACTTGCTTGCAATATTGTCATTATAAAAGTGATCATTAATCTTTTTCAGAGAAAAAGAGGTTTTATTTCACAAGTTTTTATGTAGATAAAAAGTTCAATAGACACAATCAGTATATATAAACAGGCTGTTTACATGCATTGAAAGTTTAATTACAGCACAGTGATTAGGAAAAAACAAAACACCTATTTCAAGGACAATTCTAACCTCTTGCCTTCACTTATAAATGGAAACAAGCTGCCACACAGTTCAGCAGTAAAGGAGGATAAAGAACTGATAATAATCCTTGTGCTCCTCACATGAACTCCAACAAGGCATTTGAATGAGACTTTTAAAGCTGTAAATTGTCCATCAAAGCACAGAACAACTTTTGCTAATCCTTGTGCCACAAATTACTAATACATTTGGAAAGCTATTTTTTTTGCATGTGTTTACAAGGATCTAAACATCATCAGACAGAAAGACAACTGGGTTAGTAACATGTAAAAAAAAACCAAAACAAAACAACAAAAAAACCCCTGAACAGAACCTGAAAAAAACAGAACCCAATAGAAATATAAACTCTAAAGCAGTTGACCACAGAATAAGTAGGATTTGCAGAAGTACTTACAGCTTTCAATCTCCAGTGTGCAGTTCTGCTCATCTAGTGGATATCTCCGCAGGTCCATCATACAAGCAGCTGTTGTTGTAATTCTGGGAAGGAAAGAGGAGAGTTTGTTAATGTGCCTTACCCAATCTTTCCTAGGTCACACCTTGTTGAAAGAAGAAACTGTGTTTGTACATAACTGATGCTCTGCCTGGTTTTGCTTGGATACCATGTCTGCTGCTTGCTTGTAACTAATGCTGTCCCGTGGATGTTATCCCAGCCTGGTGCTCATGCACAGCTTCCCCTTGACACAAGTATTTTCTGCTGTGTGTTAAGCACAGCTGACTCGCCAAAGCACCTGGGGAACCTGCTTCCACACCATTAAAAAAATGAGAGCACTGGGAAGCAGCCACTTGTATAAGCTTTTGAAAGGCTGACCAAATGAATTAGCTCAAATTGTAAAATCCAAGATGATGATCTCCACAATAGGACCCAAGATGGAGTAGATGGAGTGCTTACAACACATGCAAACACTAAGGCATTACAGAATCAATGTCTTTCTAAAGTACTGATGAGAGATGGGTGCCCAACAGTTTCCTTCTCAAAATCCTGTCTCATGTATGAGGTTTACTACTGGCCTTTCACAGTAGATATTTGGAATGTTCAATAACAATTCAAAAACTTCTTGTACATTCTTAGTCCTGATAAAAACCCTTCAGAGACCTCTTTTATTTGATAGATGTTATTCTTTCTCCTTGAATACATAAAAAGTGTTCATTAGCGGCAGAAAATTACAGTTGCCTGGTCAAAATTCACTCAAAATTGACTGCAGCAACTGTTTCTGCAAGGCACTTAAGAATCTTCCTAAGTATGCTTACTGTCCTATCCTATTGGTCTCTTGGAGAAAAGGAACAGCTTTTGGCACCAACTTCTTTCTTCATTCCATACAGGGGTACTCATAGAATCACTTTAGAAAATATGTTTCGAATCAGTGTGTGTTACCAGAGATGCTTCACAAGAAAGCTTTTTGGAGTGGGACAAAACCATAGGGAAAGAGACTCCTTTGACACCACTCAGTGAAAGCCTTCCAGCTTTTAACAAAATCAGACTGCTGAGGAATACATGTGTGTTGATATCAAATGCAAATGGAGCAAGCAGCAGCACATATTGGTAAAAAAAGCTCTTGACAGTTCATACTTGGTTCCTTATTTTTAAATTTAAAGAAAAATCAAAGAAATTGCCCTGTTCCAGTATCAATGTAAGAATGATTATTTTGGGACAGCCTTGAAGAAAGGTATAGTGAGACCAGAAAAAAATTACAGCTATTTTTTTTTTTTTTGCTGGATTATGTTTGGGTTTTTTGTGGGAGGTTTTGATGTTTTGATTTCATCAGTGTTTCCATACTTACCTGTATATTACAGTCAGGAGTTTTACAAGAGTTTCAGCAGTCCATAGAGGAAAAGGCAGAGCACAGACTTACAGCCAAGGTTTAAATGCACAAAAGAGTTGTGGTAAAAGCTAACGTGGTTGACTACTAATTTTTCTCATAGCTTTCTCTGCACTAAACACTTCCTACCAAAGTCTACTAGATCCAAAGGTTCCACACAGAGACAACCCCCAGCCAATGCTACCTTCAGCAAAGTGTCTGTTCACACTGATGGAATGGACAACTCACAATTCTCACACATTTCCTGAGGATTTTTGGTACAAAAATCTGAGAGGGGCCAAAGGCTGCAGACAGCTGGGATAAAAGCTCTGTAGGGAACATTAGCAAATCATTAAAAGACAAAATGCCCTGCCTCACCAGAAAGTAAAGGAAAAAAAAGGAAAAATACATTGAATAATGTATTTAATTCAACTTGCTTGTTTCTTTTTATCCCTAATGCAAATCCATTGAAATAAAATCAGAAGCCTGCCCTTTCCTCTCCTCGTACCTTACTCATATTTTTAGCCTGGCTTCTCACATTTATAGTAAAGTAGAAAAAGTTCTCTTTCATCCTCATAATTATGTAAACAGCAAAACTACCTTTTGGTAATTTTTAGTGGTTTGAAATTCATGGTGATTAGCTAAATCAAATTAGAGCATGAGAGTGCAAGAATTACCACCTTAGAATACTTTTAAAGGCAAGAGACATGAACCATATCTTTTCAGGCAGAGGAAGAAACAGCAGCTCATTTTAGAAGTTGGGAACACTTGAAACAGGCCCAAAGCCTCTCCCCCAGAGCAGAGCTGTTTCAATTTTCACAACAGGATTAGAAGTATTTTTATACAGCCTGTACTAGTGCAAAAAATATAATATTGTGTTTTGTATAATGTAACCTTGAGAACAAACAATGAAAAAGTGAAAGCTTTTAAAAAAACAACACTCTGATTCAAGGCACTGCAGTCATTAGGGATGATAAACAATAACAGGACTCAGAGAAGCACCACATGAAATGAAAAACATCACAGAACTGTCTCTCTCATACACTCATCTTTTCATCTCATCTCTCATTTTCATCTGTTGCTAAAGAAAAACCTTGTGATATTTTATGATTCCTAACAATGAAAATGAGTTTTCATCCTCCTCTTTTATGAACTACATTTTGAATGTAGACTGATTATGAATCACAGAAAAAGCAAACCCTGAAGCACCACTAAACCAACTAAATAAAGTATTATGAAGTAGACCTCGAGAAAACTTCATGTGTTAAAACAAGCACAGCTACACTGCAAAAAATCTGCACCACAACTGACTTGCAGGGAAAGCAAAGTTTGCGGTCAATAATTCAAAAAAATTCAGATAAACTCTGAGAAAGCTGAAAATCTGATTACCTACAAATCTTTGGAGGGTTTGTGATTCAAATAAGAGTTGGAAATTCTCACTACTTCTTTCAGAGGCCAAACGTGAAGGCCATAAAGAACTTCTTTAAATATTTCCAAACTCAAAGTGAGGCAGAAAATAATACCCGTATTATGATAGTATCCCAGAAGTGCTAGTAGGCCTTATTTTTCAGTTCTATGCAGGGGATAGTTTTCCAAAACCCTAGATTTTGCTTTTCTGACATGTGGGATTTGAAATTCAAAATAGCAACTTAAACAGTTCTGATATAGTGAAGGAAAAGCAGCACTGGAAGAGAGGAGAGCAGTAACAGGTGGAGATGGACAGAATCTCATTCCCTCTTGGAGCTGCAATGGCTTTGCAAAGCTGTGGAGAATAAGCAGTAAGAGAAACTTCTCTCTGCCCTGGAAGGAGGCAGCCCTGACCTGTAGTTACAGGTTTACAGACACACAGAAATGATGGGCAAGAGGGTGACAATTTCAGATAGCTCTCCTGAGCTGAGTGGTGGTACTAGAACTCTGTAACACCATCCTGTTCTATCCTTAACAGATCATGATCCTATGGAGTCAAAGAAAGAGATGAAGCCCAGGAAAATACAAAAACTAATTCTTTCTCCAAATGTATGCACATATATCCTGTTGAAAGCAGAGTGAAATTCTGCTTCTGATTTGTGTATCTGTAAGCTGACTGACTCCGCATTAAGAGCATCAGGAGCTATCCAGAGCTCACAGTGACAAGACTGAATCTCTTTATCAAGGACTTTGTAAGAATTCTCTTGTATGAGGTGACTGAGAGTCAGGAACTCTCTAAAGTAGATAATGAAATAATGTACTGCAGCTAAACCCACTGTTCACCTTTGCTTCTTGAGAAAACTCCTCCAGTTTTCTCCATTTCATGACAGCTGGAAATACCTGTGACAGCAGCAGCCAGCAGAACCAATTTTAAATATCTGGAAATTCTGGGAACAAAACATCACTGGGATAAATCCATCTTCTGGATGATAACATTAGATTTAAACGTATATCAAGGTTGATAGACATACTAATAGATCTACTTTTAAATAAAGTAAATATATTGCTAATTAGAGAATTCACAGTATTTTTCCTCCTTCTGCTTATTCACAGAGAAGAAAAGCTTCCCTTGTGTGATCATAGGTTAAAAGTTGGCCATAGGAAACTCCAAACAGTAGTAACATTTCTAAAAATTCAACTTTAAATCTAAACATTCAGCTACTGAATCTTTCAACCATAAATCAGCTATAAACTTTTAACTGTAAACAGCATATAGAGTCTCAGTGTAGTTTCACAGGAAAAAAAGAACAGCTGTTTTATTGATGTTGATATCTCTGAGATGAAACAATATACATGTACTACCCAGAATCTGTAATATGCTCTCTTCTAACACTACTCCTCAACATTTCCTGAGTATTGCAACCTAAGTGTCAACAGCTCACTTTTCTTACTCCATTTGGAACTTGTTATCTAATGACATGTAGACATTTTCCCCTTGTTTCTGTAGTGTACAATCCTTAGACAGTAAGGTGCTCTCTGAAAGCACTAAATGTATTTGTCAAAGCTGAAAGGCATAACCATAATACAAGTTAAGAATACAAAGGATATGATACTAAAGCATTATCTAAATGTAATACAAGAGAGGAAAAAACTTTTGTAGCTGATAAAACACAGGGAGTCAGAACCCACACAGAAAATTTGACTTCATTAAGTTTTGTTGTTGCTGACATTGTTTGTTAAAAGAAGCATACCAGATTTTTAAGAGGAAACTACAACCTATATGCCTCTGATCTTTCTTGGGAAGATGTTCTGCATTTCTCTGCTGAAGTACAGCCTATTGTGCCAGCAGGAAAGAGTCACGGAAGACCAGAGAGCTGGCCTCTTATTTCATGGTAAAAGAAATCTGTCTCAGAAGAATCAGAATTTTCCTGCAGAGTTCCATTCCATCTTCTGCTATACTGCTATATATGTAGCTCTATAAATTGTTCTTTAAGTGAGATAGCATTTCCTACTGTTCTGTCACTGTGTCCAAAATTCAGCCATAACATCATCGTAATTTAAATCCTTGCAAAAAGCACACATCAAACTGCAGTAAAATCTGCTACAATAACCTCAGCTTTAGACTGAAATAATCCAAACCTTTCTCTGAAGCAATAGGTTATTCTCTAGAAAATAACACCTATATAAAATGGCAGAAGAGCTCAGAGGAGCACTTGGTAATTTTAATATTTTATCACGGAGAAATATATCCTTGTCTTTCAGCATTCACTTCAC